TTCCTGTCGGGGACTCAGAATTTTTCTCTGTCCCACGCTCGTGTCATGTTGATTAATTCACCTTCACATTCAGATTTAACATTAATTACAAAAGCTGTGGAGCGATCTTTCCATCCTTTACACTTTCCTCAATAAGTTTCATGATTGGGTGTCCACAAAAAAAGCACTTAGCATCCTCAGGAGATGCCTTTAGCAGACCACAATAGCAATAAGATGGATCACTGAATACCCTTTCTGGGATGTAGGCTACATGTTTGCTTGCAGCTTCTGTCTACTGAAAACCATGCTGAGGCAGCCAAATCAGCATCACATATTCATGCCTAAATATTTCAACCCATCTGTTTTGATATGTTGAATTTTCACTTAATTTTTTCAGAAAGATATGCTTTGCTTCTCACCCTTCCATTGTTACCATCCCCACCCCTGGCCATACTTTTCAAGCACTTGATGACAATGAGAGGGGACAATGTGACCCAATATCCAGACAGTAGGATTTGCAGAACTTGGCAACAACAATGAATTTACTTTAAGTTACTCATGGCAAGCAATAGAAGGTTGATCAATCTGGCCTAATGTTATCTCAAATCTATTAAAAAGAGAAACACAGTCCCTCAGCCTCACACCTAAATAAGCTAAAGCAAGAACTGTTTGACATTCTTTCCTGGAGTCACTTTCACAACCTAGCCACTTACAAAGTTATAACAAAAACAGCAGGAATCTTTTCCAAAGTACTGTTATCAACGGGATCCTGCTAAGAATTAAAAACTAATAAACAAGAATTAGTAAGATATATAAAATATGATACATATGAAAAACCATTAAAAATACAATAGAAATTACAAGTAATAATCGTCCAAGGCTTTCCTAAATAAAACTGATTGGTTAATTTTTACTGTCATTTAGTTTAATTTTAACTGTCATTCATATCTTTAATTTTAAATTAATAGTTATTTTTGTTATTTCATTAATCTAGAATAAGCGATGAATGGCCCGCCTAGATTAGCACTTGCTATCTGTGGACCAAATAACGTGTAATTTTCAAAATGAAAGAAAATACAGATTATCATTATTGTTGTTGTTGTTGCTGTTAATTTAGAGTTCAGACACATAAAAAGCTGGTGGGGGAGTGTTTACAAATGTTTGTGTAGGAAGGTACAGCAGGGATGCACAAACCATTACCTTGTTTATAATGAAAATCATCATCATCATCATCATCATTATAAATTTCTCACCCTGTCAAAATTGAATTACAAGCCTCCCTGTAAAAGCACTCCCACCACTTGCCTATAATGCTGTCTTACAAAATTCTCGAATATTCGAAATATGAAACTTTCACAAAGCACTGAATTACTTAAAAAGGTCAAATTAAATATCATCTCACCTTAACCTGGGCTAGTTGGACTTTATTGTTCTCTGCCAATAGCTTGCGATTTTCACTCACAGAATCTAACAGGTTTTCTCTTGCAACCTTCCAGGCTTTCATGAATTGATCCACGTCAAAGCGCGTGTTCTTTCTGCGCGGCATCCTAGAAATTAACTCATTAAAAAACTAAGCAAAGAAAGCCAAATTACGAAAACAAAAATCATAGAGTCGAAGTTTCTCTTCGTAGCAAAACTTCTCGGATAAGTAGATCAGAAATGCTTAAAAAAACTATCCGGGCAAAAAATACGATACGAACGACAAAAAAACCTTACCTTTTCTTTCACTGTTTCCTCGGCAGTCTCTTTCTAAGCGAATATCGAAGAAAGTATTGCATGTTTGGTACCAAAATGATGGCAAAACTGTGAACTTTCAGTACATTTGAGATTTGGCGCCTTTGGACTAATCCCAGGACCGCTCGGAGGCATTATTTATTGACAGGCGTTTACACCAAGTTCCAGTCTTCTCTGATTGTTCCGCTTCACAGCGCGCGCCAGCCCGGCGTGGTTAAAGTTTTAGCCTGCCTAGCTGGCGGTATTGTAGGCGCGCGGAATACTAAGGGAAAGTTTTGACCTAGGCTGAAATAAAGTTTTGGCGAAGCCGCTAATCGCGAGAAATACCGCCTGCCAGAGAACTTGGGTTTTTTGAATGCCGCCCACTTTTATCACCTCTTAAAACTGACTATTTTCGCGCGAAATATAGGCTGAAGGCGATCGTCTTACACTTTGCTGTTGATGCATGCACGACGAATAACGGAGAATTTACATGGAAGGGTGATACGCCTACAAAGCCAGTTAAAGAAAGGAAAAGCTAAGAGGAAAACGCTGACGACTTTTGTAGATTGAGTGGTGTCAATCTGAAGATAAAATTTGGTAACTTTCAGAAAAGTACCAAATACCTTTCAACGGAAAATTTATTTAAACCTTCAGGTCACTGAAGGACAAAGTCTTGGCGAGTTAGTTTGAAGGCCGTGGAACTCGGAAATATCGTCCACGCTCTTGGAAATCAACTCTAAGTAGGTCAAAATCAAAGTTCGCGCAGGCCGATCTCTGCTTCTTTCCAGTCTCTAAGTAAGTTTAATAGGGGTTTATTTCGACCAGCATGCTCATAACCAAGATTTCGATTGTTTTTCGCTTGTTGATTTCATTGAAGGACAAGGTCTTCTCGAGGTAATTGAAAGTCCCTGGGACTCGGAAATGTCGTCGAAGCTCTTGGAAATCAAGCCTAAGTAGGTGCAAAAGTTTGCGCAGCCTGGTCTCTACTTCTTTCCAGTGTCTGAGTAAGTTTTACAGGGACTATTTTCGCCCACCATGCACTAAACCAAGTTTTCTGTTATTTTTCGCTTGTCGAGTTCACTGCCAAGGACAAGGTCTTTGCAAGTTAGTTTGAAGTCCCTGGGACTTGGAATTTACCCTCAAACTATTGGAAATCAAGCCTAAGTAAGTCATATATGAAGTTTGCGTTCGGCCACCATGCACATAACGAAGCTTTCGATTATTTTTCGCTTGTCGATTTCACAGAAGGACAAGGTCTAAATATCTGAAAGATTTGCGACCTTAAATTTCCACTCGGTCGGCGATGTAGGAAAGCGATGGTTAGGGCAATTATTGAGCATGCTCTTGAGGAAATTTCGAGGCGATGAGAGCTTTTGACGCAAATTTATGGTTAAAATAATATGTTTCTTCGGTCAACTTCGCATGGACTGATTCCTCCACGAGACCGCTTGCAGTGGCGGATCCAGACTTTGAGCTAAGCGGAAAGGGGGGGGGGGGGG